TAAACGTTGTGAGGTCAAGATATTCCCATTGGCGTCTAAATAAATAACTTCCAGTCTTCCAAACACAAATGACATGACTTCTTTTACGTTTATATCAGTTTATTTCTAGGTATTCAGTAAAATCAATATTCTTCGTGTTGGCAATAGTTAGTGCTTATTTTAAAAGTTTCAACTTAAATTGCACAAATTTAATAGATTTTCTGGCGGAGAAGAATAGTGTGTCAAGTGAGCATGAATTTGAGTGAAAGATGAACCAGAATGAATTGGATGATGGCTTTACTGACTAATATCAGCTGGTTCTTGAACCTACTTGAAACATTATACACAACACACACATGATATAACACATCACATTAGGATGAACATTATTATATATATAATATATAAATATATGTATAAATATATATAAACAACAACAAAAACAGTGATCAAGGACAGCTAGACTCAGTCGCTCAGTTTAGAAGCATCATATAAAACTACTGATTTTTCTCGATATTAACCAACAACCTTCTATCACTTCTACAAAGCTCAGAAATAAGCTAGCTGACTAAATATTTCATTTTGAAGGGCATTTTTAAAACATTATAGTAGTTAAATAACATTAATGAAATTTTAAGTGAATACAAATAAAAAATATTATGTTTTACAGATTATTATTGCAGATTATTCTTTAATTTCTTCCCTTTAAAGACTGATTTTTAAAATTTAAAATAATCACTCAACAAAATTACAAATTGATATCAAAGCTTTTCTCACTGTTGTCTTAGTCTCTAATTACCGAGCGTCTAATGACTGAAGCTAATGAGTGTTAATTGATAGTGTTGTCTTGTCTTGTTGGCTCGATTCAAATTAATTAATCAAGATAATTAGAGCTTAAAATTTCATTTCAGATTATCCCTGCTTTTGTTACTTCACACTTGAAGTGTTTAAAAGATAAACACTAAAAATAAAGCTGCTGAAAATAAAGTAAATGATTTAATTAGTAAAAATAAAACATTGGGTCCTGTAACAAAATAAGATATGGTATACTTAGACTAATCAATAGTTTGGCTTATATTTTAGAGGAAAGCCCAATGGGGAGTAAGATTAAAGTTCAGCTAACTTATTGAAAACCAGGGTCAAATTTATAGAGTATTGAACTAGTTTTAGAGTCCAGGGGCCAATTTAAAGAGCATTAGACTAATTTTAGAGTCCAGGGGCCAATTTACAGAGTATTGGACTAATTTAGGGTCCAGGAGCCAATTTATAGAGCATTGGACTAATTTTAGAGTCCAGAGGCCAATTTATAGAGCATTGGACTAGTTTTAGAGTCCAAGGACCAATTTATAGAGCATTGGACTAATTTTAGAGTCCAGGGGCCAATTTATAGAGCATTGGACTAATTTTAGAGTCCAGGAGCCAATTTATAGAGCATTGGACTAATTTTAGAGTCCAGGAGCCAATTTATAGAGCATTAGACTAATTTTAGAGTCGAGGGGCCAATTTATAGATCATTGGACTAATTTTAGAGTCAAGGGGCCAATTTATAGATCATTGGACTAATTAATATGTATTATGTCTAGGATTATTCTTTTTCAAAGAAAAGTACTTCGGTTATGCAATTATTTAATGCAATAATTTGTATAGCTTCGTTTGCGACTTTCCAGTTGGGTTTTATTGGTAAATTTAATTTTATACAAAGTAAAATTCAATGGGAAAGACCTTTTAGAGCAAAGCCACTGTTTTGTGCTCATGTTGTCGATATGTAAATTAATGCAAGAATAATTACCTCAATTAATGTGGGGTGGTTGGTTGGCCATTGAAAACACATCAACCAAATCACTTTGAGATTTGTCATGTATTGAGATGCAGATTTTCCCAATTTATCAACACATTTTAAACTCATCATGGTATCGACTATATCAATAGCAAGGCTTAATTATTATAAATAATACCTACAATTCAATGAGTTGATGCCTTTACCTAAAGATTCAGTTAATTGGTCATGATCTATGTTATAAAATTCAAAATGCATTTTCTTTGAGCCGTGAATTATATTGAAACGTATGACAATTTGTTAATTTAGAATGTGCATAAAATTAAATAAAAATATATGTTTTATTCAATCAAGGAAATAATTGAATTAATGATTTTGCATAAACAAGTACATTCTGGAACAAAGACTTCAATCCCAAATAAAAATATAATATTTCTAGTCCAACGAATTAAAAATGTAGCACTGGCTGTTACTATAATGACAATCTTCATGGACTGGCACAAATTCACAAATTTCCATGTGAAGTGGTGCAGCTCATACTATCTGCACTCATGGTGCAAGTTCCACCATGATCTGCCCAGCTACTACCCTGAAAAAACCCTAATTCCCAAAATCCTGTGGTGAAGTTAACACATAGGAAAAAAACATGTGTTTACATACTTCCAAAATTTGATCATATTTACATTTACATACCCTTAGGTTTGTTTAACATAACCTGAGCTCAATTCAAACTGCTTTGTAATGAAATTTAAACAAAATGAGGAAAACGTCACTTTCGGAGAGCTCAGTAGGGACTTTTACTATGCAAATTTGTTGGTGGATAACATTATGGCGGAAAATCTCGCTGAAGTGACATGTTTATTGGAAAGCAAGAAGGCCAATCCTAACCTACTAGTGCCTGAATTGGGAATAGCTCCTTTACACTTATTGGCAGGCTTAGAGAATGAAGATTTCACATGTAGAGTCACCCATCAAGTGTTGAGAAACGGCGGAGACCCAAATGTCCGATCAGATGAAGGTCTCACACCAGTCCATGTAGCAGCGATGTGGGGAAGATGCAAAGTATTAGAAGTCCTCCTGGCCTTTGGAGGGGACCCAGACTTGATTGATGACATTTTCTTCTTGACCGCTGAAGAGTATGCGAGGAAAGAACATCAGTGGAAAGCTTATGGAGTTTTGTGCACCTCATCTATCATGGTGAATGGGTATAAGGATTTGATTTTGGAAGGTAAATTGAAAAGTGAAAATCATAGCTCATCCTATAAACAAATAAAAGATACAAACATTAAGAAACTGAAATCTGAAGCAAGAAATCATTCTGACAGCTCAGAAAATGATCACAATAGTTGTATGTACTCTGTGGTAAAGAAAGAAAAGAAACAAAATCAACTTGATTTTGGACGCCACAGTGAGAAAAATCACAATCTATTCAGTCCTGATGAAGATGTTAGAGGACAAATGATGAAAAAACAATCAAGGAAGAGTAAAAAGTATGATGAAATTAATATGTTGGATGATTCTTGCCTAGATGAAAGTGATTCAATACATACGTTGAAGCTGAGTGAAAAAGCTGTTAAAACCATTAGTAGACAAAGGAAGAAAACAAATATTTATGAAAGCCTTGGAGACATTTCAAGTCAAGTTTTAGCTAGAAACAAACCTAATGGTAAATATAATAAATCCTCCCAATATGGAGACTCAGTGAGCGAAAGTTGCGATTGGATAAGAAAAAAAGGGGATTGCATCAAACTTGACAAAAACACTCTCGATACAATCAGAAATCAAAGGTTAAAATCAAAGATCTATGAAACCAAAGGAGTTGGTGAAGATATATCAAGCCAAAGAGAGAAAAGTGCACCACTTTATGAGGAAAGTGAATTTTGTGATTGGGTTGATCCAAGACAACATGAAAAATATGATCAAATTTCACTTGAAAAAATGAATAATCACAGAGCAAGAACATCAACCTACAACAGTGAGGAACTCCAGGAATCAGAGAATGTCAACATTGTGTGTCCTGGTCCAAAGCTCCCCAGACGAAACAGCAAGAAGCATTACAGGAGCAAAGACAGCGAGGTTTATCTGTGTGGATATGCAGAGGAGTCTGTTTCAACTAATGAGCATAAAAATCAGATTCAATACTGTCCCTCAAACTACTCAGAAATGAGTAACTCCGTAGATCATGTGAATCCTAAAATGCTATGTAAAATGTCTCGCATGTTCCTGTTCATGCTGAAGAAAAGACATATTTATCAGAAAATCAAATGAATTCGAAGTGTAAACTCTATCTAACAGGAATCAATTTATGTCTAGGATTCAAACTTTGTAGCTTTCAAATTATGGAGCTGATGGTCAAATGTTTTGGAGTACTGTACACCAGCATTTTGACACAAGAATGGGACTATATTTTAGGAATTATTTAAAAATTATTAAAGTACATTTACACAATAAAAACCTTTTTGTGTTTTAACACTTAAGTTATAGGTTTACATTTTGTTAGGGATGAAGATTTCAAACTCTGGTCTTGTGCGCTACTATCTAACTTCGACTTTCCCTTTGTTAAATACTGTAGCATCATCAAATTGATAGCATAATGACAATTGGCATCTCGGTCCAGAATCAACTAGCCTTTGGAGTTGAACTAAGCCAGAGACATACTAAAAAAATATTCCTACATCAAATTTATCTTAGATTTTAAGAAAAATCACGTTTCTAAATTCAGCTTGCTTCGATGACAAAATTAGAGCCAAGAATCTGGTCTTATAGTCACCTACAAAAAATAAATATCAAAAAACGCAACAATGATATTGTTTAGTGTGGGGATTTCCAGGGAGCAGATCGAGGAATAATGAATTCTACTGTACCCCTTTCGAAAGGAAAAGATTATTGATATTTACTTGGATTTTAAGTATTTTGTGTAAAACTATATCACTTTTATCTGATAATGGCAACTTTAACATATTTAACTAATTATATGAGCAAAAAATATGCTCTTTGAGGATAACTAACTTTGCTGTTTGCTCATTGCTGAATCTTGTCCTAGTTAATTTCCTATATTACTGACATGTGATTTAGAACAAAACTAAAACAGCTTTAATTATTAAAGTAAATATTTTAACTTTTAAATATGGCTGATCAAAATTGTTATTCCTGTGACTTTGCAAACCCCCACTGGACATATTTTGAAAGGCAGTTAAAATCCTTTGAATCGAGACAGTGTGAAAACTCTACTAGTCTTAATGAAGCAATCAAGGAAAAAATGGATAAATCTTATCTCAGCAGTTTTCTGTACCATCTCAACAAAAAACAGAAGCAGGAAACTTTCATTCAACAAGATAAACTGGAAAGAATACAGTTTGATATCGTGAAAGGTCTTGTGGATATTGAAAAGTTTGAGAGGTTCAACAATATTTGTGATGATTTGTTTGGGCTGATTGAACTTTACCTTAGGCATCATAGTACAGGGAAAATGACTGTAAAGGAAGTTTTGAAGAGAATGAAGGTCTTAAGACTGACTGGTTCTAAGGTAACGATTATTTAGTTATAATGTTTATAAATTTTGCTAAGTTCCTAGTACGTTTTGTAAAAAGTCTAAGATGGCAAGATTCAATTAGACTACAGTCATAGACAAGCTAATGTGCCAAACCTAACGTGTTGGGCCCTCGTCCTGGTGATGCCGATGGTCCCTTTGCTGCTGCTTGACTGAACTGGCCACACCTAAGCCTGTTTCACATCTACCTGGCTGTCAGGTGCCAGATTAACTGGCAATGCAGTGAAGAAGTATATGGGCACATACGCACAACATGTGTCGTGGCTTGTTAATCACTTACCCGGCTGCCGTGTACTAGTTGAGCGATGCCGGGTGCCCCATCGGCAATGGACAGCTGCTGGTGTCGGGCTGATGTAGCGGCCGGGCCCAATGTGACAGTTCACATACAACCGGCACCTGTTGCCTGTCGTCTCTGCACCACATGTTTTTAGTTCAGCTGTTTGTTGATTTGTGACTTTTGGTTTTGTGCACAACGTTTAAATAAGAATATAACATTTTTTATTAACTTTTTTTAAGAACATAAAAAGCACGATTCATTTGATTTGTTTCACGTTCAAAGGGTGGACCCAGTGTAGGCTACTTGATTCTTCTATCTTCTTCTTTTCAATCGTCTGTACAAAAGTAACATCGCTTAAGATGGAGTACAACTGCCAGAGTGCCGGTGTCGGCGTAAAGTGAAAGGAGAACCCATGCCGATGCCGGTTAGAAGTCAGGTTAATGGCATGCCGGGTATGTGTGAAACGAGTCTTAGGAACTTAAAATCAAATCAAAATCAAACTGATGGGTTATAGTCGTTGGATTGTACCACCAACAAAGTGCAACTGATGTTAGACACTGATTTCTTTTGCAAACATGCTGTCATTTTCACCAAGCCAAACAGAGAGGACAACTTAGTGTTAACATATCTTGTATGCTACAATGATAAAATAGTTAAAAATAAAATTTTGACTGAGCTCAATCTGTAAGTATCTCTCATTCAACTGCTGGAGGTTATCAGTTCAGCTCAACAGTCAGTCAGAACAGCCGACCTGAGGCCACTGTCTGTTGTCCTGCACAGGAGACAGCCAAGAGAGGATTGATTGTCAATGCTAATACTTGTTTGACCAGATAGGCAAGATGGATGACTCTCTACGCAGACTGGTAGACCTGGAGGTTCTAGTGTTGGCTGGCAACTGTCTGTTATCCTGCAAAGGAGTCAGCCAAGGGAGGACTGATTGTCAATGATATAATACTTGTTTGACCAGATAGGCAAGATGGATGACTCTCTACGCAGACTGGTAGACCTGGAGGTTCTAGTGGTGGATGGCAACTGTCTGTTATCCTGCAAAGGAGTCAGCCAAGGGAGGACTGATTGTCAATGATATAATACTTGTTTGACCAGATAGGCAAGATGGATGACTCTCTATGCAGACTAGACCTGGAGGTTCTAGTGTTGGCTGGCAACTGTCTGTTATCCTGCAAAGGAGTCAGCCAAGGGAGGACTGATTGTCAATGATATAATACTTGTTTGACCAGATAGGCAAGATGGATGACTCTCTACGCAGACTGGTAGACCTGGAGGTTCTAGTGTTGGATGGCAACTGTCTGTTATCCTGCAAAGGAGTCAGCCAAGGGATGATTGCTAATACTTGTTTGACCAGATAGGCAAGATGGATGACTCTCTACGCAGACTGGTAGACCTGGAGGTTCTAGTGTTGGCTGGCAACTGTCTGTTATCCTGCAAAGGAGTCAGCCAAGGGAGGACTGATTGTCAATGATATAATACTTGTTTGACCAGATAGGCAAGATGGATGACTCTCTACGCAGACTGGTAGACCTGGAGGTTCTAGTGGTGGATGGCAACTGTCTGTTATCCTGCAAAGGAGTCAGCCAAGGGAGGACTGATTGTCAATGATATAATACTTGTTTGACCAGATAGGCAAGATGGATGACTCTCTACGCAGACTGGTAGACCTGGAGGTTCTAGTGTTGGCTGGCAACTGTCTGTTATCCTGCAAAGGAGTCAGCCAAGGGAGGACTGATTGTCAATGATCTAATACTTGTTTGACCAGATAGGCAAGATGGATGACTCTCTACGCAGACTGGTAGACCTGGAGGTTCTAGTGTTGGCTGGCAACTGTCTGTTATCCTGCAAAGGAGTCAGCCAAGGGAGGACTGATTGTCAATGATATAATACTTGTTTGACCAGATAGGCAAGATGGATGACTCTCTACGCAGACTGGTAGACCTAGAGGGTCTAGTGTTGGCTGGCAACTGTCTGTTATCCTGCAAAGGAGTCAGCCAAGGGAGGACTATAATTGTCAATGATCTAATACTTGTTTGACCAGATAGGCAAGATGGATGACTCTCTACGCAGACTGGTAGACCTGGAGGTTCTAGTGTTGGCTGGCAACTGTCTGTTATCCTGCAAAGGAGTCAGCCAAGGGAGGACTATAATTGTCAATGATCTAATACTTGTCTGACCAGATAGGCAAGATGGATGACTCTCTACGCAGACTGGTAGACCTGGAGGTTCTAGTGTTGGCTGGCAACTGTCTGTTATCCTGCAAAGGAGTCAGCCAAGGGAGGACTATAATTGTCAATGATCTAATACTTGTCTGACCAGATAGGCAAGATGGATGACTCTCTACGCAGACTGGTAGACCTGGAGGTTCTAGTGTTGGCTGGCAACTGTCTGTTATCCTGCAAAGGAGTCAGCCAAGGGAGGACTATAATTGTCAATGATCTAATACTTGTTTGACCAGATAGGCAAGATGGATGACTCTCTACGCAGACTGGTAGACCTGGAGGTTCTAGTGTTGGATGGCAACTGTCTGTTATCCTGCAAAGGAGTCAGCCAAGAGATGATTGCTAATACTTGTTTGACCAGATAGGCAAGATGGATGACTCTCTACGCAGACTTGTAGACCTGGAGGTTCTAGTGTTGGCTGGCAACTGTCTGTTATCCTGCGCAGGAGTCAGCCTCCCACGCAGACTGATGGTTCTGGAGCTCTGTAGCAACAGACTGGCTGACATAACCTCACTGGCAGACGATTCTCCTCCTCTTCTCTACCTCGGCTTGGCTAGAAACAGACTGACCAGTGGTATTGTATGATTTTTTGTAAGAGAACGGTCCAAATCCTGTTCTTGTTACAGTCTATGGAACGTCAGAGAGCATCATCAACTGAAAGCCTGATGTCAAATGACATATAATCAAATGGGTCAATGGGTTCAGTTCAGTTATGCACCTGCCCCTGCCACCTTTAGATTTAAGGGCCCATCCGCTACCCGTTTTCAGACAACTATATTAGTGCTAGAATTTAATCCTTTGAGACCCAGGGATTATTCTTTATTTAATAATCTCTACTTTTATAAAGTTTTCCTTCTTCTTATTTATAATATGACTAAAAATCAAAGGTTTGGTGAACACAAATTTTCAGGATGTGTAAAAATTATTTAATTTTAGATGTCAAAATTTAAGAGTCTGTAGGCTCATAAAAAATTACAAGACTTTAGAGAAAATTGTGTGTGAACTTTATTTATGTAGGCTACCTTTATAGCTGCTGTCCTCAAATACTCTGAAATAAACTTACAGTAACTCTATAAAAAAATCCTTATCAGCAATGTGACTTACCATTAAATGATGATCACATTTGATATTTTAAAGCATTGACACCCCTTTATAATGCAATTATTATTGTTAATCCTGCATTAGCAACTAATTATTGTTGATCATTCTTTTACAGGTGTACTGGAACCTCTGGGAAAGTTTGAGTTCCTGTACCACTTGGACTTGGCACAAAACAATATAGAGGACATGACTCAGTTGGTTGTTGCTTGTTCACATTTGAAGAATCTTTCCTCTCTCGTGCTCATTGGGAACCCTTGCTCTGTTGGTGACCTTTTCTCATTGAGTATTTTAAGAACACAATGTTAGAATATATTGTATTGGGTTTTGATGAATGCTTGCAAAAATATGTTAGTGATAGTTTTGCTAAGCTACTCTTGACTGTCTAAATAATAATCTTTGGCGGGAAGAAAAATAAAATTAGCTCATAAATTAAAAACAAAAGTGATAAGACAAATTTATTTTCAGATGTCACCAAACTATTCAACATATATTATGAAGAATATACCAAAGTTAATCTTTTTGGATGGGGAATTGTTAAAGGATCATAAACCAAATGACGGAAATGAAAGTGATTTAGAACACGATGGTACATTACAAATATACTTGTTTCGTCTCATGGGCGTACCACAACCACATAATAAAAAAATCAATAATAAGGTACTTTATAGATTTACTTTATGATTTGCAGTTTGGATTTTTGTAGATTAAGAAGTATTTTAATAACTGTACGGTAGTTGCTCTTCTTTAACAAGTTTTAGCGAATTTCCCATTTTATAGGGGATGCTATTCCCATAAGTCTCTTAGTAAGACCTGGACCCCGAGACAAATTTAGTTTATCGTTTTGACGTCCCCAGAGCCCAAAAATACCATTACTTCACACTCCTATGTGTATCCATTAGTACGATTTTGATGAAATTTAGTACAAACGTGTGTACCTACCTTTATTTGAATGAGTTCTTGAACCAGCATGATCAGACTACGAGAACGGGGTTTTATGGGGAAAAAATTGTTTGTCTAATTTTTTCATAAATCATAAACCACATTTTAGTTTGTCCTGCCAACATATTGAACATCTCTCATCATCATCTCCTGTCATTATGGAAACATAATTGCTGTTGTCTGTCTTGATAAGAACAAAAGCGTGAAATAATTGTTGACCACACAATCTTAGGATAAACGTTTTGCAATCACGATAATATCATTAGCAAAAGCTAGGCTGGATCTTAATTTTCTGACTTTGTGTTAAACCCAAGATGGGTAGCCGAGTGGTTATAGTGCTTGCCTAGCAATCAAAAGTCGCCGGTTCGCTCCTGAGAAAAGTCAGTAGCTTTTTGATGGTTTCAAATGACCCAGCTGTTCCTGATCATTAGGATTTAAATAAATTTAATGGTCCTGGCCAATGAAACAGCCGATCTTAGTCAGTAACAAAGCTACACAGATCATCTCACACCATTCTACACTCCTATTTTTTGGTTAGAATACGCATCTAGGAAGCATCCCCATTTCAATGATTGATAATAATGGATAATAATTGATAACCACTTGTTGAGCTTTTAGTTTTAAGCTGGACTCGGTTTGATTAACAAAATAAGCCAATAAAATATTTTCTCTATGAAATATGGTTCTTGTACAAAACACTGCGGGCCTCTCTTTGCTAGTGGTAAATCCGGCATAATTCTTATGTGTATTAAATGTAGTGATAACATGACACATATAATACAATTTTTTTTGTAGAAAGTGACACATTCCTTCAGACTTGAATTTGAGCTACCCATTTTACAACAATATATAATAAATAGAGAGACAAGCTTTCTCATTGATGAATCACAGTTAGAACATGAAGAAATTATAGAACCAGATCAAAAGAATTACAAAACAAAAAATAACAAGAAAGAAAAAGGAAAATTAACTGAAATTGAAGAAAAATCAACAAAAGGAAAGAGTAAGAAATTAAAGAATCATAACAAGGAAGAAATAAATAAAACCTCAAAAAATTCAAAATCTGATGCCGGTAATCAATTAAGCAGTGTGAAAAGTAAGAAGGGGAAAAAATCACTCGGAGTAGTGAAAAATTCAAAAAATCCTGAAACTAAAACAACAAATGAGAGTGAGGAAATTGTGAAGTATAAATTACAATTGACATTGGACCAGGGTATTCAAGAATGCTTCAAATCACAAAGGAAAAGCTGGGGTAAAATTATAGAATTTGAAAGTCCAGCTATAGAGGTGTCTAATTGTGATTTGTGGTCATTGAGGGACGTTTTTAGAAGTGTTCTTACACTGAGAGTGGTACATTTAATGGTGAGTAAACTTGTAATACTAAACACACTCAAATACATAAAAAAGAAATATAGGAATAGATTAAATATAATTTGCATAGTCATTGCTCAAAAAGACTAATCTAAAAAATGTGTAGATCACACTTGTTTTTTTCCTATGACGTACATTGCTGGATAAGCCAACAAAAACATATAGTAAGCTTATGTCAAGGCCAATGAGTCCAAAAAGCTGTAAGTAGCCTGACAGTTAGGCAAATTTTAAATGTGTTCAATGGAGTTCATGTGAGGCTGCAGGGATGCCAACTCATAGATTGTCTTATCACCAGGCCACAATTGAGTGGGGAGGGGGGGGGGTTTGACACTCTATTATGCGCCATGTTACCCTAGGTTGGAAAGACTGGATAACTTTGTTCAGAGGACACTGTCTTTCTTTGAATTCTTTGGTTGACTGCAAGATTAAGAATCTGCAATAAAAACTAAATTTTAAGTTTGTTACTGCATGTAATATTGTAAAACAATTTGCAATCTGCATTCCATTCCAAATTTCAAGGCATTTTGTTCAAATTTTGTTCCACCAATTTCCAGAATAGATAGCTCTCGTCAGTCAGTCCATACATGTATATTTTCAAAAATGTCTGTTAACACAAGTAAACCAAACAAAAGCTCTCTGTAAAACTTTTCACAATTTTTAGGTTCTCTTCAGTCATCAGTCAATGCATCTGGTACATTACATTATTAGGTATTTAAAACCCACCTGTAAAATGTGGTGGAGGGATGTCCAGCTTCAGAGATCACTTTGAAGTGGTCCTTTAGCTTTCCATCGCTAGTAAGCTCAATCACCTGCAACTGCAATGCTGGTGATACTTCAATATGATTGGTGACTGTCCAAATCAATGTTGAAGAAGTTTTGAATCCACTTGAATTAGCAAACTGCATAGGCATTCATCAGGATGGCCTCTGTAATAACTGGGGTGGATTCAATATTCTCTGGAAGATTGTTGTTGATGTAAATTCATGGATTATAACAGTCACATTAGTTACAGTGCATTAAAAACAATGGTAACATTTCTTTATTATTGCAGACTTCAACTCCTGTATCAAAGGGAAAATCTAAACAAAAACGAGGAAAAGATGATTCTTTAAAAAGAAATGGTGTTTCTGAAGGGGTGAGTTAAAGCAATATTGGAACTTGACAAAATGTGATAAATGATAATTTAGTGTCAACTAAGAAAATTTAATTTATTAGTAAGTTAATTGGAGCAATGAGATCAATATTTTTCCAAACCAATGCAACAGTACAACAATGTACGGAATTGTACTCACAATATCTCTAGCACATTAACCCAATTTGAGTACTAAAGGCTAATTCAGCAGCCATCTAAAAAACATGATGTACCACTCCAATCCACTTCCAACTATTTAACTCTACAAAAGATGGAAGTCAACGAGATTGGTTGGATTCTTTGAAACTTCTCCCTCACATTACTCATCATGCATTTTGCTATTTTAATTATTTTTTTATTTTTTAAAGAGGTTGGCGCCCTCTTTTAACCTTGCATTTGCCCGTCCACATAGACTAAGCGCCCATGCGTGGAACGTTAACAGCAAAGCAAGGAGTGAGCCGGTACAGTACAAAGGTGAACTGTACTGATAAATTTTAGTGGCAGTGACCAGGATCCGAACCCACGACATCGCTGCCTTGGGCCCGAAGTCCGCGACGCTACCGACTGAGCCACCGACTCACTAAACATTTGATGATTCATTATTTGAAACATTTATTTGAAACATTATTTGATTCATAAACAAAAACATTACTGAAATAGGCATACTGTAGTTAAATGAAATATGTCTAAATTCAAAGGGTGAAATAGGAACCTCATGTATGTCATTACTGAATGGGCTTTGTCAAACAGGATCTTAATAAAGAAGTATTGATCTCCAAGTCAACTTTAGCTCTATTCAGAATACCTTTACAAGATATTATGTGGAATAAAAAGTATTTGGAATACATTTGGACACTAAATAAACCATTTGATGTTGAACCTGCCAATGATTTAGAGGTAAGCAGATATGCATTTAATTTCCTTCTGTTTGTCAATAATTTCTTACTTTTGCTAAATAATAAACACATAACACTTTTTTTATAACAAAATACTGTACAAGGATTTTCCTGTAACAAATTTGTATGGTCTATCACAGCATAGGACTAGTGCAATCATATCTGTTTAAGTGTACTGTACTCGGTAGGCATCCATCTGGATCCCTGTGCTATTTGTGTCTGTGAATCGTGTCTCTAGTGCTTAAAATTTCATATTTTTGACCACTGTACTACTTTTAAAGACAAAACGCCAAAACGGGTATCATTAATATGAATCAGGTTACATACTGGTAATTTTTTTTGCAATTGTTAATTTAAAGCATACAAATTCGTCAATACATAGGTAGCTAGAACACACACAACACAAACATTTAGACGGTACAAGATTAATTAATTTGAAATCATCACCAGGAATAATGTGGATTGATAAACTGACTTTCCATATTTGTGATTAAGTATCAAATTTTTAAGCCTTTGTCATCATGGTGAGTAAAAAACTTCACCGTTCCAAAAATATGTTTGTGGAAACTATACGTAGAAGTATAAGAGCAAGTAAGTAGAATATTGTTTCAAGCATTGGATAATGGTTTGAAATGTGCAATGAACAGAGACTCTTTTTCAGAATCTCCAGTATGCTGTCAAAAAGAAGAAAGAATGTAAGTTGAAATTTATGTTTTTTACCAAGGATATTATGTATGCTGTGAAATCACAGGTGTAAGGGAATACAAAACTGTTAGTCATTTAGCACTACCCAGGGGATACGTAAACCTTTTTGGGGATAGCATTTTCACAGACGGAAAAATCATCCCCTAGATTCCTGTACGCCATCATTACTAGCAGCCGTCCAGTTGATGGAAGTTCAACCGTCCTTCCAAGGACGGTTCGATTTTATCATCAGGTTCTTTTCGTGGCCAAATTAGGTTCTTGTTTTCTCACCTAACTGCATAGATAGGTAGAAAACCCCGTATTCGGAATCAGTTATTGCTAGTTTAAAATAGAGATCAGTCTTGTAGTTGTGGAGTAGAGTCAAATTATGGAGCATATATTTCATACATAAGGGAAGTACTTTTGGGTTGGTTGGTAAGCATAGCTAAGAGAGAAAAAGCTTGATTGGCTTACCACCATAAATTAAGTGATATTTTCATTTTTTTTTAATGTTTTATTTTTTTTTTAGACATGAATTGTATTTATTAAAAGTATTTGTGTAGTTCATTTAACCTGATGCTGGAATAGTACCCAAATGTCTCTTGGAATGAAAAGTTATTTATTTACACAGGCAAAGTTAGGGCCACATTGCCCTTTCTTACACTTACCCTGTCTCTTATACTTAATGATACTGAGCTCAGCTTTCCTTGAACAAGCTATTGTGGCTAAACGATCATTTGGTCTCAGTAAACTAGACAAGATTTTACCTCACTTTTTTCTACACTCAATTCTCACATTTTAGTCCAGTCAAGGAATGAGGTGTAGAGTGCGTGAGCAGGCAACTAAGCGATTCCTTCAGAAACTTGTTCAGGGGGCTTAGGGTGTTAACATACCAAAAGTCCTGACTCCTAGGTGGTGAGCCAGGGGGTGGAGGGGGGGAAAAGTGGGGGAAAAAGGTACGCATTTTGGGTTTTTTGATTATATCTCGAAAACTATCAACTTTTTGTACACTATAGTAAATTATAAAATTGAAGAAGATTAAATTTTCTACAAGAAAAGTATATAATGTGTTTATTTTGGTTCAACAGATTACGAGTTATAACTTATTTAATTGATATCTTATTAAAATACTCCTTCCATAAGAAATACATGTAAATTAGTATGCGAAATGGGGCGAATCCTATCCGCCCAAAGGAAATATAAATGATATTCTGGAAATCTTGACAAAATTTCCAGTAATTTGACACTTTAATCATTAAAATTGATCCAAAATTAAGGCCAGGGCGAGGTAACAAAATTTCGAGTTATGGTGTTTTTTTTATTGGAATGATAAAAAAACCTTAAATCATCCCATTTTTAAACACTCACCCTCGCTTTAATTTTTGACAAAATTTCATGATTAAAGTGTCAAATTACTGGAAATTTTGTCAATATTTCCAGAATATCAGTTATATTTCCTTTGGGCGGATAGGATTCGCCCCATTTCGCATACTAATTTACATGTATTTCTTATGGAAGGAGTATTTTAATAAGATATCAATTAAATAAGTTATAACTCGTAATCTGTTGAACCAAAATAAACACATTATATACTTTTCTTGTAGAAAATTTAATCTTCTTCAATTTTATAATTTACTATAGTATACAAAAAGTTGATAGTTTTCGAGATATAATAAAAAAACCCAAAATGCGTACCTTTTTCCCCCCCTTTTTCCCCCCTCCACCCCCTGGCTCACCACCTAGGAGTCAGGACTTTTGGTATGATAACACCCTAAGCCCCCTGAACAAGTTTCTGAAGGAATCGCTTAGTTACCTGCTCACGCACTCTACACCTACTTTTGGATCATTCATTGACTGGACTATTTACCTCAAACCATGGAGTATAAGCAATACAATGTAATAATTATATGTAATATTTTCTTTTAAACTTAGCAAAAACAAGAAAAGGAGAAGACAAGTCAAGAGATGTTCAGTTAATTATCCCCTCTGCTATGACATGTCACATTGGTATTGGGATCAAACGGAATACTTACCAAGAAAGCTAGAAAGTACAAAGAAATTCATGGAAAAATTGAAAAATACAAATAAAAAGTGTCAACTTCAATAATTTCTGTGGGAAACATTAATATTGGATGGATAAAACATATAAACTTTTATTTGGTTTAAGTAACAAATTTTGTAACATCCTTTTGAATTAAAGGATGGTATTCAATTTGCGGCAAAATGAAAAACAAAACAAACATTAATTTATTTAGAAAAAAACACAACTATATTTTCAGTAACAATTTATTTTACAGTATAAGAAATTGAATATAAGATATAATAATATTATTAAATACTGTTTCACAGTTTTAATAGTACAAATTTTAGCCCTTGGAAATCGGGGAGGGGCTAGATACCAACTAAGGTACAAATGCCAAATGACCAAGGAAATAAGAAAGTAAGCTTAGTTGTGATACCTAGTGAGCAAAATTGGAACCAATATAATTCCGAAATGGAGGGAAGAAGCTATTCTAGTGGCTGCCAAGCTGATAAGCAGTGAAATGCAGCCAAATAGGTATATGGCAGTGATGAGCAGTGATGTTGAAAGATTAGTGTTGTTTAAGACATGGACATAGTACTACTGGCCAATCACGCAATACAGGTTAAATGGGAAAATTCCAGCTTAAATAACTGTACTTTAAACATAAATAAAACAAGGTTGGTAGTCTGAATGTTAGACACAATAATGAAACCATTTGGGCAGCTTTCTTGATGTTGGAACATTCAAGTACTTTAATTCAACCTAATTTTATCGTTAAGTGATAATTTTTAAACAACAGTTAGAAAGCTAATGAAGAAATCAAACTTTTGCCAGGTTCATTACATAAGTTGGTGGGAAAGTACATTAACATTGGGCAGTTTAGTTTAGAGACAGAATCTTATCATACTTAATCTATGTATACACTATGACAGCTAATTTTTTATGAATCTACTGTCTGTAATCAGTAACACAATCTGTATAGTAATTAATAATATATTTTTAATGGTATAAAATAAAAAAAAAATAAAAGAGTCCAGATATAACTTTGGAAATGAAAAATACTGTCTTATTCACACAGCTAAATCTAAATTTAAACACACTTGCATAACTTTTTGTAATAACAAATTAACTTTTTAGAACAAAATACTTAAGCGCTGTTCTTCCTTATCTTACCCTAACTTTCATCTGGAAGCAGCTTATAAATATAGCACAAAATGAATAAATAAGTAACAGTAAAAACTCAAAAATTATTTTTTAAATCACAGTCTTAGTTACCCAAATTCCATGATTATTTTAATCTGCTTTCCCCCAGATCTATTTTTCACTTAAAAAGTGACAAGGGAAAAGCAACAGATTATAATGATTTGTTCGCCTAAGTGGTAGAAAATTCCAAAGTAGGGAAATCTTATGATTTAGTCTTATAATTTAAACTATCCTATTTCTCCTAGATACACTACATCCAAAAACAGGTACATCGGGATCACACAGAGAGTAAATCTATGCAGTACTAACAATCAATAAACGGTTCACCTAAAACAATGATAATGATGACAATGAACTAGGAACTCTATAAAAAAATGCAAACGTGAGCGTTCACGTCACATTTGGTTGCACTTTGAAGGACGTGCAAGTGTTGTTAGTGAAAAGCCCAAAGGGTCCTGTGTGGGCCCAAAAGGGAGTGGGGGAAGAGAGGGAGAGACAGCTGAGTTGATGCACTGGAGGAGGAGGAGCAGAAGGAGAAAACTCCACTTTGACTCCTGGTAGTCGCAAAACTCTGAGTGGCAGCTGGTATAGTGACTGTAAGGACTGTTGGTCTAGTGTCTCTGAGCAACTGAGTTCCAGATGTTCTAGAGATACCACTCTCTGAAGATTTCTGCAACAGGTTGAGTTGAAAACGGTTAGTATATGCTTTTTAAACTGCATTACAGATTTTCTATATTTATTCAATTGGAAACTAGATTATCAGTATAGCAAGGTCAATTCTGGATCCAGATGTTAATTTTCTATTTGGCTATTAATTATTGAAGCTAACTAACAAAAGGTTGTTGGATTGCTAGGGTTTGGACTTTTATTGTCAACCTACTCACAAAAAGTAAAGTTACATGACCTTTTATTTTATATGTCTACTAGACTCTAGGTTTTAATTTCCTCAGGTAAGCTAGCTGAATTCGTACCATTTACCAACTGTCCAAAATGAGTCTTAAGCTAAACAAGATAAAACTATCAGGAAATCACAACTGAGAAGACAAAGAAATTGACCAAGATCACCAAGGCCCCTTTGGCATATATGATTCAGACTCACGACGACAACAACTTGGACATAAAGCAGGAAGATGGGAGGGAAATGGAATTGATTTTGGTTGCCAAGCTAAGGATGGCATTTGAAGGGAATGCCTTGACAAGAACAGAAGTAATGAAGACGTTGTTTTACACCCCTGTAGAGAGTGATTATCATTACTTAGAGATGGATAGCCACAGATTCTGGGTTGGCTCATGGGAAGCGTCCTCTAGGTAAGGTAAGCTAGCTGAGAACAAGAGAATGGTTCATTTCATCCATGTTCAAAGCAGAAAATTAATCAGAAGCAAAAGGTTTGACTGGACCGGAGTGTCTAAAATCCACCACTTGATTATAACATACAAGTGTTGTTGTGTTTTAAATAAAGAATAGATTTGAATAACTTAATGAACTTATTTTATTAAGATGTAAACAGAAAACAAAACTGTAAAATCAAAACATAAACAATCATATTAAAATAATGATCAGCTGGTATAGCAATCCTCCTCCTTTATTTTTCTTCATATACTTACAATCTTCTTATTTGGTCCACATGTCTTTTACACACAATTCCGTCTTCCATTCTAACAAGATAAATAACATTTCCTATTTGTTTCTCAATTTTTCCAACTGTCCATTTGTCATTTGAATTAAGGGAGTAGTTCCTCACCAGCACTCCCTCTCCTATATTAAAGTGTCGCTTTGTTACTTGCATCTCTGTCTCTTTCAAATTAGGCTTCTCTACTAATAGATCCAGTTCTGTTCTTATATTCCTCCCAAACATGAGGCTGTAGGGAGACTTCCCAGTCGTGGAATGCTGTGTTTTTCTCAACTGTTTTAGTATAGTGTTAATCTTGCTCTCGACACATCCATTTGCAATTATAAGGCTCTTCACAGTTTGGACCACCCTTTCAGCTTGTCCATTTGACTTAGGACAAAATGGAGCTATGGTTTTTTGTATTATTCCATACCTTGTGAGAAAATCTTTGAAAGGTTTTGAAGTTAGCTGAGTTCCATTGTCTGATACCAGGACATGAGGAAACCCGAAGGTTGTAAATAATCTATCCAATTGCTTAACACACCAAGCTGTGGTTGTAGATTTTGTAGGTATAATTTCTACCCACTTACTGTAAGCGTCAACGACGATTAAGTACCACCAACCCCGCAGTGGACCAGCAAAATCAATGTGTATGCGTTCCCAAGGTCCGTTCGGGAGCTCCCATGGGTGAGTTGTCTCCTTAGGTGGATTTTTCAATTTTTGTTGACATGAATGACAATGTTTCACCATAGCTTCAATTTCTTGATCCATATTCCTCCAATAACAGTAGCTTCTAGCTAGCAATTTCATTTTTGTCATGCCCATATGACCAGCATGTAATTCTTCCAAGACTTGTTTGTGTAAAGTGGAAGGTACACAAATTCTATGCCCTCTGAATATGCAACCGTCTTGTAGACAAAACTCATTATCATTCAAACTGAGTTCTTTTAAGCTTTTTCCTGATATAAGATGATCGTATACCTTTTTAAGTTCCTTGTCCTTTTGTGTTTCTTCTTCAATTTGTCTTCTTGATACAGGCATCATCTCTACTTGATTTATTAGATACCGTTCATGGTCGTCACATACATTTGATACTTCTGTAACAGGAAATCTTGATAAATAATCCACATTAGCATGTTGTGTCGTACTTCGGTATTCAATCGTATAGTCAAAACCCGATAAGAAATGAGCATAATTAAAAATCCTTGATGCAGTCATAGATGGTAAGGTCTTTGTTGGGTTGAAGATGGCTACAAGGGGTTTGTGATCAGTTATTCAAACAAACTTCCTTCCATAACAGTATGCAAAGAATTTCTTTAAGCCCCCAGTAAATTCCCACAGCTTCTTTATCTATCTGACTGTATTTGCGTTCTGTTTTCGTAAGCGATCTTGATGCAAATGCAATGGGCCTCTCAGATCCATCCTTGTATCTATGTGATAAGCAAGCTCCTAGCCCTGTAGGACTTGCATCTGTTGCTAGGATTAACGTTTCATTTGGGTCATAGTGAGCTAGAGTTTGATCACTTGTTATTTCTGCTTTTACTTTCAGAAATGCATCTTCACATTCTTGAGTCCACGTAAATTGTTTTCCTTGCCGTAACAAACCATTCAGTGGTTCCAGTAAGCTGGACATGTTTGGTACAAAACGTGTGTAATAGTTGGCAAGACCCAAAAATACTCTTAGCTGGTGTACATCACTTGGTCGTTTGGCTTTAATAATAGCTTCGATATTATCAGCAGATTTGTGTAAGCCATTTTCGTCTATGACATGTCCTAAATATTTGACACTCTTCTGGAAAAATTTACATTTGTCACGATTCAAGCGCAAGTTAAACTGTTTGATTCTTCCAAAAACTTTCTGTAGGCGATCTAATGTCTCTGAAATAGTGCTCCCCTGTATCAAAATATCGTCAAAAAAACAAACTGTACCTTCCAGACCATGGAGAACCTTATAAACCGTTGCCAAATACTTGGTGCAACTTTTATGCCAAACATCATTCGATTTACTCTATAAAGTCCCAGATGTGTACTTATGGTCTGTATTTCTCTAGATTCTTCGTCCATCGGAAGGTGTAGATAAGGGGGACGCGGAAAGGTCGCCCCCGGAAACATCACCCCCCTACGTCATATTGACGTCAGAGACCGGGGGTGATGTTTCCGGCCGCGGACACTCAATTTCAGTTGCAGCATGCACTCGTTGATATGACGAGTTATTTTTGAGTTTGCGTAGTAATTAGATAATTATATTCACTTATCATATACATTTACCAGATTTTCTAATTAGAATTGATGTTAACCGGATACGTTAACCCCGATCGTTTTCAAAATGCACACCCCGGAAAGGTCCCCCCTGCCATGATCTCCCCCGGTATACCTGCTGTAGGGCTTGGGCTCGTGACTCGAGCCAGCTATTGTTAACAAGGGTAGAGACTGTCCCATAATACAACCGCTCGACTGAACTCGCAAGAATGGGAAGGATTTGGTATTATTACGCAAATGTTGTGGATATTAAGATAAATACAAATTAACACTTTGATATTGTGCTTTCTCTAGACATTTCCCCTTAATGTTATACATCAAATGATGTATAAATTACATATAGTTTTTTTCCGTCAACGTATAAAATGTATTTGAAAAACGTGGAAATGAAATAAAATGTTTATAGTAATAGTGACAATTAAGTAAGGAATGAACTCGTATTAATATGAGCATTTCCTAATTCTTAAATTGTAAACATTGAGCAATAAATGCTGTATATAATTTTTATACATTTAAATAATTGTCTGGATTTTATGGTAAAATAAATGCATTGAGAATATTCCTGATTTGATATTGGTGAAGGACTCTTTCCCGTAAAAAGAATTTAGAAAGTAAATATTGGTTAGTTTCTTCGGCAATAAAAGGAAAAAGCTCACACTGTTTACGTTTGCGTTGACAGAGAATCAAGCAACAGTGTCACATTCACTTTATTTCATGATTTCACACTGCTGATTTTAAATAACTAAATTTACATTGAAGTAGTACAGTTATTCCATGAACGGTCGCCCATTGTTTTGAAAGTTACACATTTAAATCTACCTGTAGTTCGCAGAATATTAATACGTATAACTTAAAAGTTTGCAAGAGAACATAATCCTAAGTAGTATCCACTATTCTCAGAGTATTGATTTATGGAATTCGTCTGTAATTTGCAGACTATTAATTCGTAGAGTACAACTGTATTTATAGCGGGAAGTATTTTTTGTAAAATAGCTTAGACTTCACCACTTCAGGTATCCCTCCCAGAATACCTGAGCCAAATACGTTTGTTTAACATAGTCAAGGAAAAGTTTAGTTAGTTATTTACTAAAGTCAGTTTCATCTTTTTACCATAATTCGTACATTAACATAATTCATAATTATCAGTGTTATCTAGCCTATGTACTTAATTAATTTGGAAGGGGTTAATTTGTGAACATAGAACGCCTCATTGAGTTTTAAACAGATTTTGAAAATGTTAATGCAATTTGTAAAAAGTATACTCTGAAGTTGCACTAACAATAAAATCAGCTGAAAATATGGTAGGGGATTTTCCCCAGTGTTTTCTAGAGACCTGCTACACCGGTTTACATTTTTATAACCCTCGAAATTTTGGTATATCGATATAGACTACACACATTCTACAAACATGACATAACTTTCATGACATAAACTTATAGGCCTACTTACACAGATTTGATTTCAGACAAATCTTGATTTTACCCAAGGGTAGAAGTATTAGAGATGTATAGTTCAAATCTACAGATTTCCTGAATACGAAGATCCGTTACGGTAGGAAAAAACAACATTTAAAATTGAAACAGTATGCGGGCAAACACCAACGATCAATATTTAAGTAAACTACTTGTAACATAAAAACGTCAATGACAGTTTGAAACCAGCTGTTAGTTAAAACAGCACTGAAACGACTTTAAATTATTAGCGTCGGCTGCTAGACTAAAAAAATTAAACTAAAAAAATGAAATCATGGCATTGACATTCCCTTCCTTAAAAAATTATATTTATTTCAACACAAAAATCA